GAGGAGGAGGAGGAGGAGGAGGAGGAAGAAGAAGAGAAGAAAGATAAAAAGAGAAGAGGAAGGAGGAAGAGAAGGAGGCAGATGGTCCGGGGCGCGCGTGTCAGTGCACCTGGCGAGCCCCGAGGAGAAGGCAAGATAGCAAGCAGACGGGGGGAGGCCACCCGACACCGAGACACTGAAAGGCCCCGCCACGGGGAAGGGAAGAATGCGCACCAGGAACGGGTGCAGCAGGGCACTGGCCGCGGCATAGTCGTGGATGGAAATGCAAAAGAGAACCCCGGTGCAGGCGTCCGGCAGAGAGAGCCCCCCGGGCAGGGCACCGCCGACGGCCCGGGCCGTTGTGCTGGACGCCGAGGCCGCCGCGGACGTCGGCAATGACGCGATCCCCGGCGATGTGAGGGATGGCGAAGGGAAGGAGGGCGAGGCAGTGGTCCCGGGGCCCGGTGGACTGGCCACCGCCGAGTGGTGCAGGGCATCGGCCAAGGGCGTAACAGGGGAGACTGCTACATGTGCGTGGCCGCCGGGCACAGGGGGGGGGGGGGGGGGGGAGGTCTTGCGTCAGGGGCCAGGCCACGGCCCGACAGAGCTGCGGCAACAGCAGACGGGTCATGGCGAGAAGGGCACACGTACCGGTGAGATGCCCGCCGGGGAAGGCCACATCGAAGAGTTTCGACGGGAGGCCCGGGCGACCGGGTGCCGGCGACGCCAGGCCCGGCCCCACGCGAGCCGGACCCGCCTCGCTACTGGACAGGTCCGCCTCGCCGACGGCCAAGGGAGATCCCTGGGCCGAGGAACTGGTGCTGGCCACGCTCATTCGAGAAGGCCCGGGGCCGCGCACGGGCCCGCGGCGCGTGCCCATGGCCGCCGGTGCCGCCGCCACCCCGGCAGCCGGTTCCGAAGGGAGCGAGGGAAGGCCGCTGGCGCCTTGCGCGGCCCCGCCGGGGGGGCGGTCGGCCGGGACGGACATCGTGGGGCGCACCCGGTGCACGGATACGCGAGCAGCTCCGGAGCGCGCTCTCGGCAGGGGGAAGGGAAGGGTGGCGAGCAACAAAGGGCAGGGCGTGCGAAGGAGGACGGGGGAGGAAGGAGGGGAGGAAGGAGGGGAGGAAGGAGGGGAGGAGATCAGCCGCGCCAGGGTGCTGGCCGTTGTGGTGGGGAGAGCACGCGCGCGCGCGCGCGCCTCCGATCGGCCTGTGCCGCCCCCCCCTTTTGTTCCCCCCATTCCCCTTCTCTTCCCACCCACCGGAGCATCTACTCCCGGCGGGGGCTAACGCCCCGGCCCCCCCCCCGAAAAGGGCTATCGACGATCGAGCATCGTGGGCGATGGCAGCTGGGGTCCTCTGCCCCGTTGGTAATCCTGCGGTGCCATGTGACTTGCATCGTGATGGGCCCCGGTGGCGCCTGCCCAGAGGGGTCTCCGGGCATTCATGGCCCAACCCTCCTTTCTGGGGGGGGGGGGGGGCTCGGCACCCGTCTGCCCGGCCGGCCGCCAGCCGGCGGCGAGGGCTACGGGGCGGCCCGGCCGGAGGGCCAGGCCGCGCACATATTGCACCGGGGGGACGATCGGCCCCGCCTGCCCTCCGGTCGCCCCCTCTCTCGGGCAAGGACTTTGCCTCTTTTCGTTTTTCTGCCTTTTTTTTCCCCCTTTCGTCCCCTGCGGGCCGACGAGGAGGGATGTCCATTGGCAGCCGGACTCTCCAACTGGCGCTCTGAAACGCCGCCCGTACCGCCCGGGGCCGGAGGGGGGTCGGGACCGGGTGCGAGCTCTTGTCCTCCCGTCTCCGGGCGCATGTCGCCGAGGGGGACAGAGAGAGAGAGAGAGAGAGAGAGAGAGAGAGAGAGAGAGAGAGAG